GAACACTGCCACGGATGGGGCAGCCACAGCTTCTCCGGGCACCCTGTGCCAAACCCTCAACACCCCCACGGGGAAGACTTCTCCCTAATGTCTAATCTAAATCTCCCCTCTGTGACACATATCCCTCGGGTTTTGTCCCCAGCTTCAACTGAGGAGCAGCGCATCCAGTAAAATCTACCAGATGGGGACCTGCAGATTGGTGGGGCAACAATGCCACCCCAGTGGTACCTTCACCCCTTATCCCAAGGTGAGAGTGCCTGGAGCTCCAGGAACAGTGGTGGGCAAAGCCCCTCTGCTGGAGCTGAGGGGAGGGCAGTAGGTGCCCCAGCCAAGCTTTGCTCCTTGCTCTATACTCACCAGAGCTCCAGCATCCCTGGCTCTACCCTCCCCAGACCATGGCCAAGCCCTTTGAGGCCCCCACCCTGGATCCCCCACTGCCCCCCCCCCCCAGTCTGGAGGTGAGTGGCCAGCGCCGCAGCTGTGCTGTGCCCCCCAGGCTCTCACCTCAGCTCCAGGACAGGCAAAGCTCTCGGGAGCGCAGTGGCCTCAGCCTCCACGCAGCACCCTGGACTTTATACTGCCCTGCGGCGCGTCACCCCCCTCCCAAACAGCCTCGCTGCTTCCAGGACCTGCTCCCTGCCAAGTAAACACCGCCGCTGGGTCCGGCCGGGCTCAGCCGAAGCACCCCACGGGACAGCCCCTGTGCGGGAGGCCCCTCAAGCTCTCAGAACCCCCCGCCGCTATCCCCGCTGTACGTGTCCTCCCTGCCACGTGCCCTGCGAACTCCGCACATGCCCCACGGCGGGGCCCCGCTCTGCACCCAGAGCACCTTGATCTGCTGCCGCAGGCTGCCGGCTGGTCCCCGGGAAGCCACCAACACCCAGATTTAATGTGTAAAAGCGCCGCGGGGAGAAGGCAAACAGCCGGTCAACGATTAACCGGGCTAACGGCCCGCTCCAAGGTCCCGCCGCCCAACACCCTGCGAGGCGCCGGGACGCGGCGACCCTGCCCCGACGTGGGCTGTGGGGACCCCGCACGGAACCCCCGGCACGGAGCTCCCCGGCACGGAGCTCCCCGCACAGACCCCCCGCATGGGGACGGCGGGGTGGCACCGTGGGGCGGTGGGGCGAGGGGAGATCCCTCCGCAGCGTGGCGGGTGTGTGGGACAGCGGGGGCCGGGGGTGGCCGGGCGGATGCGGGGCGGGTGGGGCCGGCCGGGGCCGCAATCTCGGCCCGCGATAAGCCTCTGGGTGAGTCAGCAGCGCCCGGGGGGAGCGGGAGCGGCTGTAACCGCCGGCACCGCCCTGGACAGCGATCCCGGGGCTCGGGACCCGCTGCGGGACACGAGGGACCTGCCCGAAGCGGGGTACGGGTGAAGGGATGCGCCTGGGAAGTGACTGGGAGAAGGCAGAGGGGACAGTATGGGCAAGAGGCTAGAGGGGCCAGGGAGGGGACGGGGCATTGGGGGGTCCTGGTGGGGGGGTCAGACTGGTGGGCACTGGGGGGTTTGGCGGGTCTGGTGCAGGAGTCAGGCTGGGGGGGGAGCACTCGGGGTGATGGGAGCCAGGCCGCGGGGGCTGGGGGCAGCGGGGCCGGCGGGCTCGTGGTCGCCACTTGCGCCCGCCGTGGCAGTAGGGGGCGCTGCGGGGCCGGGCCGCGCGGACGGCGGGGCCGCGCGCGCCCGAGGGGGCTCCGCGCGTGGGAACGGGCCTGAGAGCACCCTAAAAAGGGGAGAAAACCCCGTGTCAGCGCGAGGCGGGAGCTGCTGCCCCCCACTGCTACCCCCACTGCTACCCCCACTGCTGCCCCCCACTGCTACCCCCACTGCTACCCCCACTGCTGCCCCCACTGCTACCCCCACTGCTACCCCCACTGCTGCCCCCCACTGCTGCCCCCCACTGCTGCCCCCCACTGCTGCCCCCCACTGCTGCCCCCACTGCTGCCCCCACTGCTACCCCCACTGCTGCCCCCCACTGCTACCCCCCACTGCTACCCCCCACTGCTGCCCCCACTGCTGCCCCCACTGCTACCCCCCACTGCTACCCCCCACTGCTACCCCCACTGCTGCCCCCACACTGCTGCCCCCACACTGCTGCCTGCCCACTGCTGCCCGCTGCCCCCCCCACTGCTGCCCGCTGTCTGCCTGCTGCTGTCCACCCGCTGTCATCACCGGGAGGTTATGGGAGGACCAGAAGCGCCGGAGATGGGCGGAAGCGGGCAGTACCCTCCCCTGCCCGGGGCGGCCGCTGACCTCCGGGCCTGGTCTCCGGCACTGGCACCCGTTAGCAAAGCGCTTGTGCAAAAGCCACCGGTCAAGGGCGGGCTGTACGATGCCTGGAGCTGAAGCTGCCTCCAGTGAGTGGAAAATTGCCCCACCTGTGCCCATAGGGGCCAGTAACGGGCTCTTTGTTAATGACGTTAATTGCGAAGTTAATTGGGTATCTGAAGTTCTGAAGTTGTAAGTGAAGAGCTCGAGGATGTGGGCACATCGCATGCAGACAAGCTGATGAGATGGGCAGGGCTGGGCCAACATCTGGATGGTGGGACCAGAGTGATGCGGCTAATGGCACCTTGCTAGGGAGAGACCTCAGAGCCCAGCAGCCTGCGAGGAAACCCAGCTCCAACCACTGCTGGAGCATCCCCACTGCCAGGAGGCAATGGATGCTGCAGAGCAGGCTCTCAGAGCTCCCTTGCTCCTGCTGTCCTGCCCAGGGCAGGGGTGGCCCCAAGCATGGCTCAGCCTGGGTGGCTGTGGATGGTGGATGGTGTGTGTGTATGGGTGTGGATGGTGTAGGGGCCACCAGGCATCTAGGCTTGAGCTGATGGCAGGACAGGAGTCTCTGGATCAATGCTGCTGTCCTCAGAGAGACAACCCCCCTGGTTTGAGTTTTACCTCTACTTGGGAAGGGCATTGGCAGCAGGTGAGCACAGAAATCCTTTGTGCCACTGCAGCATGGAGCAGAGTGGGTTGCAGCACATGGTGTAACAGCTTGTCCTGCCACTGGTAGGTCTGCTGTCCTGGGTGCATCAGGGACCAGGACACTGTCCCAGTGATGCTGCTGTGCAGAGCAGCATCCCTGCCCTCCTGCTGGCTGTGGCTCCTGGAGCAGGAAAGAGCCATGCACAGTTCACTCCTCCCCTCCCCATGCCAGGGACATCTTTGTGGTAGTTTCCTCATGTTTCTCTTTGACAGCAGCCCTGAAGATCATAGAATGGTTTGGGTTGGAAGGGACCTTAAAACTCATCCAGTTCCAACCCCTGCCACAGGCACGGGCACCTTCCAGTGCCCGTAGGTTGCTCCAAGCCCCTTCCAACTTGTCCTTGAACACTGCCATGGATGAGGCAGCCACAGCTTCTCTGGGCAATGTCCTCTGAAGCTGAGGATGTCCCACAGTCATCACAGAGATGTTAGCAGCATGTACCCTCTGGGACACAGTGTCCCCTGGGCTTTGTCAGGTCTCAAAAAAAAACGCTGCTAATGGTCAAGGACACCCTGGACAGATGGCCGGCTCAGGAGTTTTGCAAAGACAGTAGCGTAATAGCAACGTGTCATCTGTCACCAGATTACCCTTGGGGTTCTAGCTGGGGTGGCCGTGCTGGAACGTAGGGACAGCAGGCAGCTAGGGCTGTGCAAGGATGAGAAAGGAGGACAGAACAGCAGGGCAAGCCCCTGTTGTGGGGCAGGGAGGCATCTCCCCTTCAAAAGGGCACTAGGCACCACAGTGTAGGCAGCTGGCGATGCCAACATCACCTGGATGGGCCACTGGCCACCAGGCAGGGCTGGGAACATGGCAAGGGAGCTGTTGTTGGAACTGTGCTGTGGAGCATCAGTATTTCTATGGAAACCTGACCCTGTGGCCTGATGTGAGTTTTTCACCTTGGTTTCTCTCCCAGCTGGTCATTAGCCAGGGGCACTTGGTGGCTGCAGTGGAGGGCACTGGGATGGCAGCCATGGGGCTGCCAGGTGGTTTGGATCAGAGCAGCCAGCAGTTGGGGCAGCACTGGAAGGGGCTTCAGGTCTGGATTCAGATGAGCAGCTCCCCTTTGCCCAGAGAGATGAGCCTGCAGGGAGCAGTTCTGTCTGTTGGCATGGAAAAGACCAGGGGAAAGCAGCCCAAGCACTGGGCAGGAGTCCCATCTGCACATCACAGCCCCATCACAGCTCGGCTCTGTGGCTACTGCACCGCAGTGTCCCTGCCCTTGGTGGCACAGCACAGCATGGCATGTCACCCGGCCCAACACTGGCACCTTTCGCACCCTCTCCATGTGCCCCATGGTGAGGGGTCCACCACCATCCCTGGCTGGTGCTCCCAGGCCATGCCCATGCTGCGGGCCGTGTGCTGCTGTTCCAGAGCATAGGGCACAGGGTGGCAGGGGCTGCAGGCCCCCTGCATTGGGCAGCACTGGGGGATCTGGCACAGGGGCTGGAGGACAGTGCTGAGTGGGGTGACATGCCAGTGGCACTGTAGCTGCAGTGGGCCCCTGGGACAGCAGGGCAGAGCCCTCCATGCAGCTCCCCCCCCGCCCCGTCCCTTGCCTGCCACCTGCCCCCTGCCCCTCTGGCTTGGGGCTCAGCCCTGGCTCTGCTGCCTGCAGGCAATTCAGGCCCCCATGCCTGGTTTCCATGGCAACTCCAGTTGAAATTACATTAAAAAGAAATGAAACCAGCAGCTTTTCTGTTTGGCAAGCAGGGCGAAGGGAGCTGGGTTGGGAAAAATGGGGGGGTAGGGAAAGATGAGATCCCACATGGTTGTGGTGGGACAGCAGGGCTGGTGGCATGAGGGGACCCCCCCCACTGCAGCACCTGGGTCCCACAGTGCTGGTTTGCATGTGTGCTGTGCTGGGGTGATCCCAGGATCCTCCTGCTGCACCCACAGTGTGGGTGCCACAGACATGGGGACTGCCCAGACCCCCTGCCAGCAGGCACAGCCATGGCCCCCACCCAGCCTGGGAGCGCCCAGCCCCTGCACACTCCAAGAAGACGTTAAGACACACTACTATTAAAAATATCACTTCTGTTTTATTTGGACTTTGTTACTTTGCGCGGGTGACAGGGTATAAATACATTCTCCAGTGAGGATCCTCAGCCCTGCCCGGGGCCGTGGGAGGGCGCAGGGCCGGGGTGTGCTGGCCCCAGGTAGTAGGGCCAGCCGGCACCGGTGCGTCACGGCCGCCAGCTCTGGCAGCGTCTGCCAGCCGGACCGACTGCACAGGGACGAGTTATGGTGTCCCCACAGGACCCGATCCTTCCTCATGCCTCCCCAGGCCCTGCCCTGGGGGCCAGTGCCCACCATGGGGGAAGCTGAGACTGAGCTGTCCCATGTGGGCTCCCACACCCAGATGCACCAAAACCTTGAGCGCTGCCACTCGCAGCTGCCTGCGGTTCCATGGCCACCACCAGCCCAGCGGGTGTCCCAGCCCCATCACCCCCAGTTGCCCCCTCAAGCAGCCCTGCTGTATACCAGCTGCATGCCCCTGATGCCAGAGCTGCGGTCACCCCACGGTGGGGGGAAGGCCCCAGCCGAAGCAAGGTGGGCGGCAGAGTAGCTGTAGGTGAGCAGCTTCACCCTAACCCTGCCAGTGCCCCCAGTGCTGCACACCATGCCGCAAGCTGCAAACCACTGGCGGGCAGGGAGGGCACAGCTGCCTGCGGGCAGTGGTGAAGAGACCTGGGATGCTCCCAAGGGAGCAGGGTAGGCTGGGGACCACTGGGACATGGTGCTGAGGGTCTGCCCTGGTTTCCGGGGTGTGGGCAGATGGTACTCACAGCAGTTGATGCCCCTGTGGGGTGGTGGGTGGCCGGGGCTGTGGTGGCAGCAGGGAGTCCGGCCCATCGGGTTGGCTGTTTGGCTGAGACACGCGGGCACGGGCGACAGAGGAGGGAGAATATCAAAAATACAAAAGAGGGCAGGAGGCAGCACCCTGCCTTGTGCCCGCGGGGGCCTTGGGGCGCCAGCACCGTGTGCACAAGCTGGCTTCCAACTGGCTTTTTATTTTGTATCAAGAACACTTGGTTTTAAAATCTTTACAAACGACAAAACGCGGCGACTCCGTTAGTTGTGTAAAGAACTAAAGATCTGCTTAAAAAACGTCTCTGCAAAGAGAAACAACTGACACAAAAGAGATTCTCTGCAGCGCAAAGAGGGGTGGATGTGCCAAGTCTCCAGCCAGGGGCTCTGCGCCCAGGGTCCCCAGCCCCCGGCACTGGCCCCAGCGCCTGCACCCAGCACGAGGCCAGGTCTCTGGCCCCTGCCTGCTCCCTCTGCCTGTAGCACCATGGCCCGCGGCCGCTTCCCAACACAGGGAAGGAGCCGATTCCAGGGCACTGGGGATGCCAAGCTGCCCAAGGATGCTGCGCACCAGTTGATGGGATGCCCAGCCCCACTCCTCGCTCCTCATCCATCCAGAGGTGCTCAGCAGGCAGAGCGCTGGAGATGTGATCGCCCTGGGGGAGGCACAGCCCTGGTGCAGGGAGCCCCGCGGCTGCAGGCAGCGGGGTCCCCTCCTGCCTGCCTGTGCCAGGGCATGGGCGCAGGGGCTGCGCTGTGTCCCCCCTGCATCCCAGCAGCGCCCCCAGGCGACCCATGGGGGAGCAGGGAGAGTCAAAGCACTTCTAGAGAGTTAGATAGGAGCGAAAGAAAGCGCTGGGGGGGAGCGGGCCCCGGCCGCGCTGGCACCCCGCAGGCCTCCGGCTGCAGAGCCGCACCGTCCACGGCACTGCCTCTCCGCCCGGGGAGCTCCGCTGGCCCCGGCAGTCCCTCTGCCAGTGTCTGTGCGTGCATGTGCGTGCGTGCATGCGTGTGCGCAGGTGGCGGGCGGCTATACCCGCGTGGTGGAGTGTGAGTGCGGGAGCCCCGTGCTGTTGAAGCCGGCAGTGAAGGTGTTGTAGGGGTGCAGGGTCTGCAGCCCCACCAGCGAGTTGGGGATCATAGTGATGGTGTTGGGGGTCATGAGCGGGATGTCATCTGGAGAGCGGCGCAGGGTGAGGGTGTAGTCGGGCAGAGCAGCCAGGCGCAGGGCATCGTGAGGCGGCACAGCCTCGCACTCGTGGTGGCCCTGGCTCACCTGCAAGGACGGCATCTCCTCGTCCGGCGCATGGGCCATGTCGTTGGCGGCGCCACGCTGGGGGCTGGGCTGCCGGTGCGTGTCCTGCCGGCGCTTGTCCTTGCGGTAGTAGAGGGCTGCAAAGGCCAGCACGTTGAGGAAGAGAAGGGAGGCGCCCACGGCGATGGTGACGCTCAGCTCCGTGGAGTAGTCACGCGGGCTCTCGAGCAGGGTGCCTGCCTCTTGCTCTGGGCTCCACTTCTCCTTCCCGTTGTCACTGTTGTAGGCAGGTGAGATGGCAGGGCGCTTGGTGGTCCAGATCTTGCCATTGGGACGGCGGGTGATGTGGGAGTTCTGCGTGGTGTCAGGGGGTGGCACTTTGGTGGTGGTGGAGGTGTAGTGGAACATATCGTGCAGGTTGTACAGGTGGGGGACGAGGTGCTTCCAGAAAGCCACCTTGGTGGCACGGTAGTGGTCACGTACCCGTGGCTTCAGCCCGATGTGCAGGTACAGCTGGTCACGGGGGTTGTACTTGGACCAGGCCACCTCCTCAAACCGATTGGCCTTGGTGTGGATGAACTTGGTGTCCTGGGGGACGGGCTTGTTGGGGTCCCTGCAAAACACAGGCAAAACAGAGCTAGCACTGGGAAAAACAGAGATGAGGAAGGAGAGCCGGACACAGAAATGGAAGCTGTGGGGACCTTTGCCAGTGGTGGCAAAGGGGGGGATGGTGAAAGGTCCTGCATAGCTGGGCAGCACTCCAATCCCGATCAAGTCTCATGCACAACGACCAATGGCCAACCAACCTCCCCACCCCTGTGCTTGGGGGGGTTCCTGTTCCAGGGCCTAGCCTACGCTCAGCTTTTCTTTGTGCCCTGACCCCACTGGAGGTGAAGCACACAAACCTCTGGGCACAGGGGCTTCAGTGCTCCACACCAGGCAGGACCCCCCCCGAACAGCTCCAAAGGGTGCAGCTTCAGTAAGTGCAGATCCCCCAGGCGCAGCACCCGTCCCCACTCACCCTGTCTTGGCAAAGTTGGTCCAGTAGGTCATCACCACAGCGCTGAGCATGATGTCGTTCTTGGAGAAGTTGCAGGGAAAGAGATCTGTGGGGCCAATCATGGGGATCCCGAACACGTAAGGCACCTCATCCCCGTGGGCTGCGTCAGACCACGCAGGCTTCATCAGGCTCTGGCAGTGGTGATAGAAGGCGTAGAAGTAGGTGGGGGAGCCATAGCGGGCATGCAGGTCGGCCGTCACCACCGATGGCTCTACCCACTGGTGGTCAGTGAAGAGGGCCACCAGAGTCTTGCGACGTGTCTCAGGGTTGTCCCTGTCTGCCCAGTCTGTGTACATGAACTTGATGGTCTCCCGTAAGGTGTCCTTGCCCTCAGGGTAGCCATACAAGTTGTCTACAAAGTTGGAGACTGAATAGTCAAAATCACTTCCCGAGACACCATCCTCAGGGTCCACCACACCCTCCACGAACTTCAGGCCCTCCCCTTGGTTGACCCCCAGCATGATATCATAGTTGAGGAACTCGCCCTGCTCCATCAGGATCTCTGGGTCATCTGGGATCACATCCCCATCAATGACAGGCCCAAAGGCCACGTGGTAGCGAGCTGGCTGGATGTCTTGCTCCACCAGCTCCTTGGCACTCTTCTGCCGCAGGCAGTCCACCATGTCCACTGTGTCCAGCACGTTGCAACCCACCTTGTCAGCCAGCATGCTGGTGTACTTCACGGGCTGGTAGTTCACTGCCCAGCTGGAGAGCGCGGAGCCACTCTGGATGATGGCTCTCTGGAAGAGACCTGGAAGACAGGCAAGGGGCAGAGGAAGCTCACAGTGCCGTTCCAACACCCCAGCGCTGCAGTGTGGGATGCAGCATAGGGAAGACATTGATGCCCTTGGACACCTGCAAGGAGCCAGCGCTCCAGCCCATACCTGGCCCTGACCCGTGCTGTGCTGCCTTCTGAGGCAGGCTCGCACAGAGGGTCAGCTCAGGGCCACTGAGTGGCCGGGTGATGACTGGGCATGCAGCAGGTTCTCTTGGCAGCAACCAAGGGCTGCTGTGCCTGGCACCCCTCTGCTGTGGGGAGGAGCGGGGCCATGGCTACATCACAGCCTGGCCCCCACTGAGCAGCTCATGCTGTCCAGCCACCCCAGGGTGTCCTGAGCCCTGAGGGCATGTGCACTCAGAGCATCCTCCAGCCCAGGGTGGCCTCATGGAGCAGTGTGGCTGCAGGCGGGCAGCAGCGGGAGAGTTAATGCCTGCTTGGGGACAATTAACCCTGCATGTCCCACCCTACTGCTTTGTCAGGGTCCCCCTCACCCCCCTCCCTGCCGCTTCCTGCCCAGCTGGGGCTGCTCGGTGCCAATCCGGCCCTGCAGAAGCACGCTGCCAGTTGCACAAAGAGGGCCTTTCTGCCACCGGGAACACGGAGGGAGTGGACTTTCGCCCTGGAAAACGGGGCCACAAAGGCCCTGGCCCAGGCAGAGGAATGTGTGGCTACGCTCCAACCCCATGTCAATGGCGCTTGTGCTAGGAATACAAAGGGCGGTGAGGAAGTGGAGCCTCCGGGGCCATGAAAGGCAGCCAGGCTTGGGGTGCACCCTGGGGTCCCTGCTTCTGGTCCAGCCCTCTCTGGCACCCTGGGTGCTGCCTGCACCCTTGTCAGACCCTGACACTAGCTTGTCATGAGGGACTGTCTCAGGTGGTCCCTGAAAGCTGCTGGCACAGCAGGATGGTGGCTGTGAGGCTGCCCCTGGCCCCCTGAATCATGGAGTGCCTGCATGAAACTCCCCGTGCAGCCAAGGCCATGTCACCCTGCAGGGGAAAGCATGCACCTTCCTCCAGCAGAAGTGTTTGGAGGCTCCTGGCTCCCAGCCACCATGCCCATAGCTCTTGTCTGTACGCACAGTCCTTGCTCTGCCAAGTACCTGATGTACAGTCCCATGCACTGGGACAAAGGGAAGTCACAAGCTATGTTTGTCACCTCCTGCTGCCCTAGAAAGCTGTAACCAGCCCACAGGCTGGAGACTGGCCATGGGCTTGCTTGCTTTGCAGCATCACCCACATGCCAAAGGGCTAGGATGGAGGTTTCTTGTCTCTCAGGAGATGCTGTCCCAGCAACAGCTATCACTCCCTGCCAGCAGCATCACTTCCCAGATGGACCCACCCGACTGGGCTGTGCCGCTGCTCACCCCTGTCTGCAGAAGCACAGGCAGCTGGTGTCACCAACTGGCTGTGTCCCTCATGGAGTCCCTTTGCTGTGTCTCAGCATGGCCATGTCCTGATCCAGGAGGACCCAGGAGTCTGTGAGAGCCCAGTCCTGCCGTGCCCTCCTGCTCCATGCCAGCACCCTACTGAAGCCCAATAAGCATCCCAGGGAGGCATCGCCACCCTGCAGCTCACACCAAAGCTCTCCAGCCTGCTGGGGCCCAGGCAGGAAGATGCAGCTCTGTCTTCCCTGTCTGTTCCCCTCCAAGCTGAGGGTCCCAACGCAGCCCAGGTCCTGCAGAGCTGGCTGCCACAGCATAGTGGAGCCAAAGAGTGGGCCCAGGGCTGTGCCAGGTGGTGCCTCGTGCTGCAGACTGCCACCAGCTCTTGACTTCCCCTTTGCTTTGCACAGGAGCTGAGACTAGAAACACCTCTGGGGTTGTCTGCACCAAGCCCCACTCCAAGCAGGATGCTGGGTGCCTTGTCCAGTTGAGGATGGATTACACACAGAGCTGGCAGTGAAGGGCACCAGCCCCCACAGAGCAGGAGATGGGGCAAAGGAAGTATAAGAGGTTTGCACAGCAGCGACTGCTCCTGCCCCAGCATGGCCTGGGGAGAGAAGCAGCACTTCGGTGAGGAACCAACCCACCTACATGGGCTGAGGCTGGCAGGGAAGTCATGGGTGTCCCTGGCAGCCAGACACAGCATGTGCTGCAACAGCCTCCAGCATCTGCCTCTTGTAGCACCTGGCAGAGCAGGCACAAATTAGCAGCTTCATTAATAGCTCTTGATCAAAATGAGTTTTATTTTGATGCAATAAAAACAAATCTGCCTGGTCTTCATGGTGCATCTCAGTGCAGTTTCCCTAACCTGCTCCAGTGCCGGCTGCCCTGTCCCTGGGAGGATGGGTGCTCTGGAGCAAAGCTTTTTTGAGGTCATTTCATGGCCTTTTGCTTTGATGAAACACTGCAGCACTGAGCGCTCCCTTCCTGCCTCACAGCATTTACAGCTGGCAGCAGCTCCCCTGCCACAGCAGTGAGGGTGCCAGGCACCCAGCGCCACTGTGATGCCCGGGGGACCACACCACAGGCACTGGGCCTGGATGGGGCAGCAAAGGACATGGCAGGCAGATGCAGTGTTTAGTGGCAGAAAGCCTAATGTCACTTGAGAAGCGCTACACTGGCACAATGGTATTTTTCATGGCTGGAAAGTCGGGGAGCAGCCCCCTCCATCCCCAGCCTCTCTCCATGGTGTGTCCTCCAACCCAGGCTACCTATGCAGCGAAGCACACAGACCTGCTTCCTAAGAGGTGTCAACATCTGGCCATGAAAACTGGTCTACAACCTTAGCGGCATTCTGGCTTCTGGGTGCCCTGCCAGAAGCAGGGCAAGGCAAGAACCCAGTCCCAGATAGGAGACTCCTGGACCGAAAGCACATCCCTGCAATCTCTGCCTGCCTCCAGACACTCCTGTGATGGAGAGGAGCACTCTAAGAAGTACTGTGAATGCATTACACCTGGCATCCCCTCCCTGGCCTTTCACACTCAGCCTGAGCAAAGAAAACCCTTTCTCCTATGTTGGCCATGCGGTAAGGGGCTGAAGCACCTCCCATATAAAGACAGGCTGAGAACACTGGCATTGTTCAGCCTGGAGAAGAGAAGCTGCGTGGAGACCTCAGAGCAGCTTCCAGTGTCTGAAGAGGGCTACATGAACGCAGGAGAGGAACTCTTCATTAGGGACTGTAATGATAGGACAAGGGGTGAGGGGTTCAAACTGAAACAGGGTAAATTCAGTTTAGATATAGGGAAGAAGCTCTTCTCTGTGAGGGTGCTGAGGCGCTGGCACAGGGTGCCCAGAGAAGCTGTGGTTGCCCCATCCCTGGCAGTGCTCAAGGCCAGGTTGGACACAGGGGCTTGGAGCAAGCTGCTCTAGTGGAAGGTGTCCCTGCCCGTGGCAGGGGTTGGAACTGGAGGAGCTTTAAGGTCCTTTCCAACCCAAACCATTCTATGATTCTTTCTGCAGGAGCTTTCAGCCTGTGAAATACTCCCCTCCCCTGTGCCCACTCAGCCCAGAGTGACTGCACAAAGGTAGGAGGGCACACAGAGCTCCAGATATCCACAGGGGTGGCACAGGCCCCTGCAGCTGCAGTGCATTCCCTGCCCTGCCCGCTGCTCACAAATCTGCAAAGATCTACTTGTGCTCCTTTCCTACACACTACTCAACATCTAACACAAGCAAAACATCCTCTGGTTTTATCTGTCAGAAGCATCTCCTCCTGTGTGCTAAAGAGCTGCTGCCTGCCCAGTGCAGCTTTCAGTAGCTGAGAATCCTAGCCCAGAAGCCCCCAAAGCAGTGAGGTCCTGCCCTGCTCTGGCACTGCGATGTCGTCAGCGGCTCTGTAGGTATAACTCACATTTTCCTGAAGCTTACTGTAGTCTAATACCCATTAATATTTCCCCAAGCCAACAGCCCCAGGAGCATCCTGCTCAGGAGCTGGCACAGGGGAGCAGGATGATGGAGAGGGTCACTTCAGGCACTGGGAGTTCCTGCAGGAGTACAGACAGAGCACAAGAGTTCTGAGCACTCTGCGGCAGCAGGGAAAGGGGCTCACCCAGAACAGACGTGTCCTGAGCAGGCAACACAGCTTCATATGTGCTTTCAGCTTTGGGAAGCAGCTGCCCACCAGGTCCAGACGTGCCTCTGTTGTCAGGTCTGTGGGGCAGAGCATCCCCCAGAGCTCTGATCCTTGGGGAGCCAAGGGTTTCCCAGCAGTGGGAGCAGCCACCCTGAGAGCAGGAGCACTGCACAGGGTGAGTTAGTGCTGGCTGTGTCCTGGCCCCAGCACAGAGGGAGCATGGAACCTGGTGAGTTATCCCACGCTTGGGATACCCCCCACACAGACAGCTCTGGAGCCCCTCTGCATTCTCTGATCCCCTGAGCCATGGCAGCATGTCTCAGCCTCTCCAGTTCCCTGGCCTATCCAAGGAGAGGCTGGCAGCTGGCTGTGACCACTGGGCACCCTGATGGGCAGCAGGGATGTGCTCCTGGGGAAGGGTCATCAGTGGGAAGCAGAGCCCAGCGCAGCAGTGGGGCTGTGCATGGGGGTGGGCAAATGGTGTGCTGTAATCAGGCAAGTTTAACCAAAAAGAGCAGCTGGATAAAACTGGGAGAGGTGTTTTGGGCTTGCCTTTGACTCCACGGTGCACCGGCATCCTACGAGCTCTGTGTCAGGTCTGGGCTCAGCAGGATGCTGCCCTTCATTCCCTATCATGAGCACAGGCTCTGCCACCTCTTACCACAGCTAACACCAGCAGCACCTGCAAACCTCCACATCGAGTACTGCCAGGCAGACCATGATGCTGTTGCTGGTGCAGTCACCTTTGCAGCAGCCTGGTCTGAGATCATTCCTGCTTTCAGTACTGGGGCAGTCCATCAACGGCTCCCTGGGCCAGAGGAAGGCTTTGCAAGCAGCCTGGCCAGTGCTAGACTCCTCCCATAAACCCTCCACCATGTCACCAGCACTGCTGGAGGTCTCCATTCCTGTGTGGTTCCCAGGCTCTTGAGCTGGGCTGCAGCTCTTTCCAACAGCTTCAAGTGCAATTGTGTGTGCCTCTGAGGTGCAAACTCATGCCTGTATCCGTTGCCCTTATGCATAATCTTCTCCCTTGCACTATGCTTGGAGGCACAGCACTGGAAGAGGGGTGCACCCTCATACAAAGCCCTGTGACCAAGACCCTGGCAGGCTGGTTACCTGTGGACCAGTTCAGGCTTTGTGCCTGCATTTCCTTTAGGACATTTACTGAGAACACCTCTACTGCCATGGTTAATTTTTTTCCTAGTGTTCAATATAAATATCTTTGTGGGTGGTTTACATGCATTTGCTCTTATGCCAACACAGTCTTCTAGCATAAGGAATTCATTTATTTATCTAGAGTAAACACTCCGCTATATTTACAGATATCAACCATATCACTTCCACTGTGTTTCCACAGCTCGCCCAATCTCACAAGATGGGGTGCTCCCTCCCTCTCCAGGCTCAGGTCCGGCTTCCCCTCTATTCCAGTATGAATGCATTTCCAAGCACTGCAATCTGTGCTCTCAGTGCCCTGCAAGATGTCTGGCACCCCCTCCACACCTGCACATGGGCAAGGAGCTGCAGGAGGGGTCCCCACCTCTCCCCACACCCAGGTGCTCGACCTGGGCTGCAGCCCCATGTGCTGGGAGCACCAGCTCCATCCTTGGCTCCCATGTGCTCTGCTGCTGGCCTCTCCCTGCCCATGATGAGAAGGTTTTGCTTCCCAGTCCTGGGTTCCACTCTCACCAGTGACCAGTTAAACCGCAGCCCTGACTCGGCTGTGGTGGCTGCTGGTACCAGCTTAGATCAGCAGCTGCAGCATCCTCAGGCCCAGCTGGCACCTACCTTCAGAGTGGTGGGAGAGGGTAAGCAGGCTGACACAGGAGGCACCGATGCCGGACCCGAAGACGGTGATGCGCAAGGGATCTCCCCCAAAGAAGGCGATGTTCTCACTGACCCAGCGCAGCGCCTGTATCTGGTCCAGCAGCCCGTAATTGCCCTTGGCAGCCTGGTCTCCCGTGCTCAGGAACCCTGTGAGCCAAGGGGAGCCTGGTTAGGGATGAGGAAGCAGCGGGTATCCTGACCTCCCACCTCCCTTCCCCGGGCCTAGAGGAGCTTCTATAGGACCCTGTCCTACCACAGCACGAGACCCCACTACCAAGAAAGTCCTGTGAGCTCTAAGCTGGGGAAGGGACATCACTGAGCTCCAGCCACCCTCTGTGCAGCACAGAGGGGTGAAGGGTTGTGAGTGATGGGCATGAAGCCTCGTCCTAGCCTTGCCCCACCAGTTGTGCTAATAACAGGTCAAGACACCTCATGCATGCTCCAAGGAAAGACGAGAAAGCAGTGGTGGCTGCAGGCAGGCTGAGTGTGGGCACAGCCAACGCTTTCTATGGACTAGCAATGCAAACTAGCATTTGCTCTATAAATGTAAAGAGGTGGGCTGGGCAGAGGGGAACCCACTGCAGCTTAAAATACAATGTCTCGCAGTGAGGAAGATGCTGAGAAATGCTTTGAATAGCAAAGGCAACACCCAAGATAAGCTATCAGTGTTTCATTTGCTTTGACTCAAAGAAGGAAGCCAAAACCATGGTGCTGAGGTAAAATCCAGCCAGGTAACCCTGGCAGGCAGGGAGCGGCACTGATGCTGCTGCTCCAGCACTGGAAGTGCTCTGGCCGGGCACACTGCACCACCTCAATGGAGATGATAGCGACACCATTAAAGTCTTATTTAATACTGTGACATATGTCTCTTAAATTTGCACCTATCTGTCTTAAGAGTGTTGACTTTAAATACTGAAACATCTTGAATAGGCTTGTTTTTACTGGAAAGCCTGTTTTAACTGCCATCTTCCCCAGGAGACTATAGGGCCTGGAGGCTGTCAGGGAGATGTGCTGCTATGGGTACTGGTCAGGAGCCCAGCCGTGCCACATTGGATGGCTTGGGAAAGAGCTGGCCCTGCAGCAGTTTGACTGAGGAGCTCTCCTCAAACCTCCGCACCCCTTGTTCTACCTGCTGCTAAGGGAGGCAGCAGTGATGCTCCAGGCAGATCTCATGTCCCAGGTCATGGGGGGTTCTGCTGCAGCAGACAGGGGATAGCACTGCCTTTTGACCCTGTGCCCCATTTCACCTCCTTAGGTCACCAGGGCTCATGAAATAATCAGAACTGCTACCCTTTTCTATACGGCACCCGACACCTTTCTGTGACCCCTTCTGCAGAGAGCCAGGACACAGTGGGGGGCTGCAGCGGTCCCAGTAGCTCACGTGGCCTGGGGACAGCCTGTGCCTGGGGAGGGAGAGCTGCTGGGTCCCCAGGGGCAGCCAGGCCGTACCACTGACAGCTCACTGCTCTGAGCCCTCTCAGGAAGAGATGCTGGGTAAGCACGTTTATTATTTATATAACTGCAGACCAATATTTGCTTTCAGCTGAGCCAGGTTGTGTAAATGCACCTGGAGGGGGCCAGTGCCAGGAACCAGACCCCATTGCACCCCAGTGTCCAGGGCAGAGGGCGGGGGCAGCCTGTCACAGTGCAGCTCCCATCCTGTTGGGTCCCATTCCTCCCACCACCCTCTTCCCATCTGGCTCTGCACCCACCAGCTGTGGGTGCTGGTCCCACTGCCCTGCTGCGCCCACGCTGGCCAGCCCATACCAAGCACTCCAACGCGGTAGTTCAGGGTGATGACAATCACGTTCCCGTAGCTGGCCAGGACGCTGCCATCTATCATGTTCCCTGTGCCCTCCATGTATGAGCCACCGTGGATATACACCATCACCGGCTTGGCCCCGCTGTCCCGGATGTCTGGAAGGAGAGGTGGTTAAACACAGGACCCTTCTGATGGCTGCAGTACCCTGCCCCACAGGCAGACCAAGGACGAGGGCAATGCCAGCTGCCAGGACTGAGGACAGGGGCTTAGAAACCAAACCCAGAGCTCTCCTGGTGGTCACAGCATGGACCTCCAAGGCCAACGACTGCTGAACCATCCCTGCCAGCCCCTTTCTGCACCACCTCCACACTGCTGTCCCCTTGGGGGTCTCAGCACATGTGGGAGAGATGCCAGCTGTACCCAGCCGCTCTGGCTGCGTGCGGGAGCCAGACCAACGGCACCTCTGTTGTGGGTGGGAGTTGCAGATTCCAGCCCCAGGATGCAACCCCGTGTCCTGTCTTTGGCTGGACCCAAGCCCTCAGCTCCAGGAGTCCTGGAAGCTGGCATTGCAGGGGGGCAGGAATGGGGGTGTGCAGGACTTGGAAGGCAGCAGGGGCAATTGTGGGTGCTCCAACATCTGGCTCTCCCCACACCCCCCATTCCCGTCCGTCCTGGGAAGGTAGAAACCTGCCAGCTGCCTGACTGTGAACCCATGGCACCCCAGTGCCCAGACACACACATGGTGATGAGGCAGAAAGTGTGTGCATGTGTGCATGTCAGGGAGGTGAGCACAGTGTCCAGACGAGGACAGGGCATGAGGCGTGGAGTGACACTGGGGAATGGGACCCTGAAGGCTGGGGAGGAAGGACTGTGGGAGCCTAGGGGACAGGGAGCAGCCACACGCCCTCTCTCGACCGGCCCTGTCCAGGGGAACATCCTTCCCCTTCTGCCCCACTGGCCTGCGGTCCCTCCTGGAGCCAAGCCCAGGCACAAGGGAAGAACACCCATGCTCCACTCCTGGTCCGTCTCGCCCATGTTTGATGGAGGAGGTGGTTGCAGCTGTGGTGCCCAGCACTGATGGACTCTGCCCTCCCTCATGCTCACCCGCACCCAGCACCTGGCTCTGGCAGGCTGCATTGCCTGCGGGGGCTGCTCACAGGCTGCTCGCTGCCGGCCCCGGCCCCAGGCACCAAGCAGGAGCCAGCCCCGCCTCGGTCCCGCAGGTAAAGCAGCCCTGCGCAGAAGGGATGCTTGGCCAGGGATGCTCAGCACCTAACCCCTGCCCACGTCCACTCCTCCCTGTGTCTTGCCCACGGCAGAGGGCTGCTGATGGGCACCTCTCACATCCCCACCTGCAGCTGTGGCCTGAGGCATGGCTAAGGGTGGCCTCCCTTCATATGGAAAAGCTCTTCCACCCAGGAGAATCTGCATATGCCATAACCTGTGCTGGTGCTTTTTCTATCGCCAGGATGAAGCCAGGCAAATGCAGAGACCTGGGGAGCAAAAAGCATTTGCAGGGCCTCCAGGACAGACATTGCCCATGCAGCAGAGATGCAGCAGGACAACTTTTCCCAGAAACCACCTGCTTGAAATGCAAAGTGCAGGAACATCCATGTCTGGGTCCTCTCCTCCCTGCCACATGCTCCCACCAGTGTACAAAGGGACTTCCTTGCAGCAGGATGACAGCGATGTGCAGATGTACCACAACGGCTCCCAATGGCTGCAGCGCGTTTTAGTGTGCAGGATTTAGCACAGTTAAGTTACTTAGGCTGAATGCCAGTTTATACCCTGGTACAAGAGATCCTGGGGCACAGGTCAGTGGGAGAAAACAATGGGGCTGTGGTCCTGCCAAGGAAAAACCTTTTCATCTGTTTCCTAAACGCCATCTGCCAGGTTGCGCTTGAGCTGCACTGGGACTCCTGCACACCGTGAGGGTTTACTGTCCTTGCGCAATAGGGCTGCACCCTGGCCAACCTCTCCTGCTGCCTCCTCTTCACATCCCTGCAGCCAAACACACCGGCTCCACACCCTGCAGATGAACAGCCCTGGTTCACTAAAAATAGCTTATTCTGCAGCTCGCTTAGCCCTGGCGCAAATCTAGAATCACATTGCTGAAAGCTCACTCGCTCTGCCTCAGCCGGTGCTTGTGCTCTGGTGGCAATCAAGACCTTGCTCATGTTGAGCGCAGAAGGAGAGAACTGAACAGAAACCGTGTCCAAGCGGGCTGTGGGTCTCCTGCGCATGGCCCTGCGGGTGCCAAGGTTGCCAAGCTGCTGGCATGGCCACTGCCCGCGGCAGGCCCGGCTGCGGGAGGAGGTCGCTGGCTCCCAGCTGCATGTCGCCAAGTCCAGAGGGATGAGGCTGGTGGTGGGATGTGACTGGGTTCAGGGTGAAATGGGCCCAGGTGCCCCAGGGCACCTCTCCTCCCAGGCTGCCATGCTTCCTGCCTGCCCTCGCTCAAGTGGGAGCAAACTTCTCCTACAGCAGAAGACACCTCACAAGCTTCTCCCCCTGTCCTGGGGAGGGGAAGGGCCTGGGCGCCTGCACAGCCAGCCAGCCTGCCCCCCGCCCTGTGCCCGCCTGCGGCACACGGACACACACAGGGCTCCCTGGGGATGGCAGCGGGTGGCAGGCAAACGGAGTCGCTTTGCGTGTCATGCAGTGGCAGCCTCAAGCACAGAAATACCTTCGTCTTCATCACCGTCATTATCCGCTAAGTCCTCTCCCTGTTTCTTAGCGCTGGCTCCTAGGGACCAAACACGAGGAGACAGAACAGAAAGGAAAACAAAACCAAAACGAAACAAAAAAGTAAACCAAAACAACAAGAAAAAAAAAACAAAACGACAAAAGAGAATTCAAAAATAGCGTGATAGCAGAGCTGCTGGGGCCAGGCCTGTGCCCCACAGCACCGCTGGTACTCACACTGCACCTCTCCCAGCGCCAGGGCAGCGGCAGCACCGCCCCGGGAGCCGCTTCACCCAGGCCCCTTCCCCGCTCCTGCACGGGGCCGGCGGCAGCACCAGCGCGGGTGCTGGATCAGCCTTTGCAGGCGCTCGCTGTGTCCCTGCCTGGGCCCACGTGCGGGCAGCCCCTCGGCTCCTGGCACCAGGGCAAGGCTCCTGTCCCAGGTGCAAGCAGGACCCCTGCTCCCAGCTCTGCTGCCCCTGAGCAGAGCCATCCCTGTCAACAGACCAGACACATGAAGGGCTGCCCTGGGTGGCCTCTGGCCACCACTTGGGATCCTGCTTGTCAGCACCATGCAGCACATGGCCGCTCCTGCCTAGCACAGCTACGCCGCAGACCACGAGTGCCGCGGCACGAGCCCACCATGGCACGCTGCAGGGAGCCGTTGTGATGGGCACCTCCGTGCACAGCCCAGCTGTCCTGTACCGACTCCCTGGCTCAAAGACTAGGCACATGGGTGACTGATTGCAAAGGCGCCAACCAACTGGCCACAATCCAGGCAGAACCCTAAAAATATTGATTTCTGTAACATCCTGAATGCCTTCCAGTTGTTACATGGTGCTTAGCAAACCCACGGTGCCAGGGCCAGCAACCTCAGCCCAGCACTGTGGGATGCTATTGTAGGTGGCACTTGCTGAGCACCGAACACGTCACCTCCTGAGCTGCGTGCTGCTGGCTTGAGCCAGAAGATGTGGCCTTTGGGTTGGCGGGGAACAGACACAGTGCAGACCTTTACCAAGGCTCCATGCCCCTGTGGGCACAAAGCTGAGGAGTGCCATCAGCCCCAAATTTCAGGAAGAGGCTGCGATCCCGTTATCCCCTTAGAGCTGCAGACTAGCACCTGTGGTCCTCTGCTGCTCAGTGCCTGCACCAAACAAGATCCCTGGGCAAGGGTGCCCTCGGCAGAGACAGCAGGGTTTCCCCAGGGCAGGACTGCCTGCCCTGTGCCTGTGCTGCCCCGGGACCTCCCCAGGACACACAGGGCTGCACGGTCCTGCCAGGCACCCGCTGATCCCTGCTGCGATCGCCAACGGGCCCCAACACCACTGCAGCAAGGGATCTGCACGGTGTCCAGCAAGGCTCCTGCAAGCGAGGGGCAGCCCCACAGCTGGATCGAACTACAACGAGGCAAGTACAGGACAGGAAGACCAGTTATTGCCACACCAGGAGTGGGATCCTGCAGGTGACCCGGGTGACGGATAACAGAGATGGCAGCATGGAGTGGGCAGGATTTGAATTTAAAAGGGATTTGTGACAGGGGAGTGGCATTTCTGCAATGGCTGTGGGGCAGCTCCATCAGGGCAAGATGCTTGCACAAGACCTTAAGCAGACGTGACCCGGAGTCAGGAGCAACGACCAGAAGTCTAGAAAAATCCCTTTTAAAGGACTGAAAAACCTGCAGGCATGAAAAGCTTGCGGGAGGTGGGTCATGTGAATCCTGGGAGCAGAGTGATGGGAACTACAGCAGCATCCCAGCTCAGGAAAGGCCACTGCGAGGGGGTGAGGTGGAGAAGCAACTCCTCCTCCACTGTGCAGAGCACAGGCAGCCCTGGGGCTACCCAAGGCAGCCTGAATCTGGATGAGAAGAAAAAGGGCAGGAAAGCTCTGGCAGAACGGCCTGGTGTGACCAGGTGAGACACACACTGCCAGGAAGAGGTGAGATGGAGCTGCTCCTGCCTGGGGCAGGGATGGATCTGCTGTCTCCAGTGCCATCCTGGTTTCCTCTGACTCGGAGTTCACCTCCCAGCCTACCCTCTCCATGCCCCAGCCCTGCCTCCCTAACTCCTGCTTCACCACCCAGCCATCCTCTGAGCTCCTCACATCATTCTCCTGTTTTCACCCAACACCACTCCCATCCCCGCAAGCTCTCGCCCCAGCCCCAGAATCCCCCTCCTTCCTTGCTACCTCCTTCCCTCCCCTCCCTCCCATCAGCCTGTTTGCAGGAGGCTGCAAGCTTGACCTACTGCATCTTCATTAGGAAGAGCTGCAAGCCCAGAAAGCAAAATGCAGAGCACTTGTGCAATATTGGCTCATCGATGCTGTGCGCCAGCCTCCTTGGGACTGCTAAGGGTTTTCTCTAATAAAGACCACAGGCACAAGCCTTCATCCGCACTGTGCCTCAGAGCTGGGAAGCCCATCGCAAGCAGCTAGAGATCCATTTCCACTGCCAAGGGCCCTGGTGCTGTTAAAGCCTTGGGATCAGCTGGACTGCAGCCCTCCAGCCTGGTCTCCTTCAGGAGACAAAGGTCTCCATGCAGTCAGGGATGGAGGAACCAGCTATGAGGAGCTGTCCGGTCGTAAGAAAGGGCAGTGTACAACAACCCTGTGATCAGAGCAACTGTCCTGGCTGAGCAGGGTGGGATCTGACTGGGGACTGCTGCCCTGGAACCTAGGGATGGCTGGGACAAGCCTAAAGTAACCTCAGCTACACACACCACAGAAGGGACAGTAGAAAGCAGTGCTGGGAAGCTAAGCAAAGCAGGAGCGCAGTAATGCAGACCAGGGGGAACAGTGGCAGTATGTGGTCATGGCAGATGCAAAGCACAAGCCTCCCCCACCAGCAGGAAGGTGCCAAGGTAGTGGGGATTATGGTGAACACAGGCTGCTGCAACCAGCAGGCTCTTTGCCTCTCGCTATATTGTTCACCTCCACAAGGACCCACTGACACCACACAGCTCCTGAGAGCAATTACAGCTTTGCTTCCTTCACCCATGTCTTGCACGTTGCTACATTACCTCCCTCCAGTGGTTATTGCCGTGTTCAAGGAGACCAGGAGATCACAGAACGGCTGAGACTGGAATGGACCATCAGAGGTCATCTAGTCCAACCTCCCTGCTCAAGCAGGGTCACCTAAAGCGCATCACTCAGGACAGTGTCCAGACAGCTCTTGAGTACCTCTGGGGAAGGAGGCTTCACAACCCATCCAGATACTTATTCTAATGCTCAATCACAGTAAAAAAATTCTTCCTCATGTTCAGGTGGAACCACTTCCTGTGATTTAATTTATACCTGCTGCCTCTCATCCTATTGCATGGCACCACCGAGAAAAGACTGGCTCCATCCTCTTGACATCCTCCCTTCAGATACCTCTATATATTGATCAGATGCCCCCAGAGATTTCTCTAAGCTGAACAGACCCAGCTCCCTCAGCCTTTCCTCATACGAAAGGTGTTCCAGATCCTTAATCATTCTAGCAGCCCTTTGCTGGACTTGCTCCAGGAGCTTCCTGTTGCTCTTATACTGGAGAGCTCAGAACTGGACACTGTGCTCCAGGTGAAGCCTCACCAGGGGTGAGCAGAGAGAGAGAGTCACCTCCCTTGACCTGCTTTCCTAACACAGCTCAGGACACCACTGCTCTTGGCCACAAGGGCACATTGCTGACTCATGACAACTTGTCCACCAGGACCCCTCGGTCCAGAGATCTTCCTCTGTACTGGCAAAGGCCACCACACAGAGCCACAGAGCACTCACCCTCAGGAGGATGGGTTTAAGCTTATGGATTCAAGCTGGGAAAACCAAAAGGACTCGAGGCTCTTACTTCCTTTACCCATCAAAAATGTCCTCCACTCACCCAGTGTGAATGCCTGTTGTTCCACTTCACTGTAAGCTGACTGTGAAGTGACATTGTTCAGGCTGATAGGAAGAATGCACACAGTCTTATCTGAAGGCTCTAGGAAGATTTAAGCTCAAGTTCAGTAAAAAATAAAATCACTTTCCCTGAAGCAGGGGCATCCGCACAAGATTTATGCTATCTTAAGTAAACTGTGCCAACAGCACTGACACCAGTGCAAACAGAGATAAAGGAGGCCGAGGAGCCTCAGTCCTTGGAGCCCCTGCACTCAGCGTGGCGTGGATGAGAGAAGAGCAGGAACCTGAGCTGACACTTTTCCTGACCCAGACATCTGCTCAGGGTGGCTGTGGGCAGCCCCAGCACCCCCCCCCCCAGTGCAGGAGGCACTCACACAGTTGCAGCAGTGCCATGGGGAGCAGCACCCCACAGCAGCTACCATCCGATGGCCACGTACAGCCAGAGGCAGACAGGCTGGTGGTCAGATCAGCTCAGGTGCTCCTCCAGGACTGACAAGGAATAGGACCAGGACTGATGGCAGCTGCTGACCCTGCTGCTGCACCACCCCACAGGCAGGGGCAGCTGCCCTGGGACCTGCGTTGGGTGGTCCTTGCTCCAGGACTGCAGCATCCTGCAGTACTGCCCTGCCCCTCCCTGTCCGTGGGTGATGTAGAGGACTCATCTCCATCCTTTAGCGCACTCCATAAAAGCACTTTATCTCACACTCTGCTTCCTCCACCAGCACAAACACCCACCCTCACCTCTGCAAATCACACCCTAGGAGCACCAGGCCAGCCCTGCAAGCCACCAGGTTTCACAGGAGGTTGGCGAGAAGCCTTCCAGCAAGGAAGCACTGCAGGAGTCACACAGCCATAGGGAAGCCTCAGCCAGTACTCGGACACGTCTACTCCTTGGAAAGCAGCGGAGAAGCTGCAATGCTTCTCCCACAAAGCAGGTGAAGTGCATCTCGAGCCCAGGAGCTGCTGGGAGCTCCAGCCAGCCTTGCACAGCTGGACTGGCACATTTGTCCCTGCAGCTTCGTGGACTCTACACAGCCCAACTAGAGAGGGCAGTAAAAACTGGGGAGGGCTGCTCTGTGCAGGGCAGCCACACCTTTCCCCTCTGAAAACGTCATCCACCTGCTCAGAGAACCATGGACTGGTTTGGGTTGGAAGGGACCTTAAAGCTCCTCCAGCTCCAACACCTGCCACGGGCAGGGACACCTTCCACTGGAGGAGCTTGGTCCAAGCCCCTGTGTCCAACCTGGCCTTGAACACTGCCAGGGATGGGGCAGCCACAGCTTCTCTGGGCACCCTGTGCCAGCACCTCAACACCCTCACAGGGAAGGCCTGCCCAGACTGGTGGTGAAGGAAAGGGAAAAGTAGCACCCACCACAGCCAAGCATAGACTGCAAGTGTTGGCAGCACAAAGCCAAGGGCAGAGCTGCATTTTGCACATAGGTTTTGTACCGTGTGTGCGTCCTCTTCAGGTGGACAGCATTATTTCCACAGAAAACCTGAGCCTCAGAGCTATCAGCTCCCCTGGCACCATCCATGCCTTGCTCCCAGTGAAGGGACCAATGTGCATGGAGGAGACTGGCACATAGTAAATATTCATATAGGAAATTATTGTGGGCAACTGGGTCTCGAAACGGAGACATTTTTTGTTAAAGGGATGAGTTCTGATAAATTCTCAGTCCCTTGGCTGCTATGGAATATGCAGAGCTTAGGAGTGGCAGAAATCATGAAAACTCCATTGAGGTGGGAGCTGAAACATTTTAAACCACCAAAATACTGCTCTGTGAGAGGAGAGCTTATTCACTGCTCATATGTGGCCTGACAAATAATAATCATTACTATTCCAGAACAAGCCAATGTTCAAATGACACAGCCCAAAACAATCAGCACTGTAGGTGCATGATCCTTACCTCAGGCACTAACGGATGCACAAATGAGGGACTGGGAAACCTGTGTCTCATCACAGGGGACTCGGTTTGAGCCAATGGCAGTGTCAGTGCTCGGGTGCTTTAATTATCGGCACATCATGCCTGGATTCCCAAACGGCCGGCTCGGGAGATCTGCTAGTCCCTGAGCCAGCAGAGCCCGGTGGGGGCAGAGGGCACATCAGGGAGGTGACCAGAGGCAACTGCAGGTGGGCTGCAAAGAAACTCTGCCCATGAGCAGAGCTGACGGGGAGGGAGAACCAAGAGATGAGCGTGCCCGAGATGTTTCACTGCATCTTATATCACCCCCCTCCTCCAGCCATAATGTGGACCCTGCTTCCTTGGCGCTGGCCTAGAGCAGGGGATGGAGGGGGTCCACCAGCCCCAGCAGCCAGTGGGAGGGCCGGGAGAGGAAGCGCTTTGAAGCGGCTGGTGATCGCTGGCACAGCCAGCTCCGGAGGCAGCGTGCAGAGACTCCCTAATGCACCAGCCCTTTCAGGGCCAGCCTTGGCACTCAAGAGGGATGGCGTGTGAATAGCCAGGGCAGCAACAGGAAAAGCAAAGCAAAGAAATCCAGGAACAAACCTCGGGGAAATGGCTGGAAGGAAAGTGCTCCCCAAACATCCAAGCCCAGCTGCGCCGGCCCTACCAACCTCAGGGGTGCAGGGAGGTGGAGGCTGGGATGCAGGGACCCCCTGTCCACCAGACACCCCCTCCCTTCCCTGAGCCTTCCAGAAGAAGCGTGGCTGTTTGTCTGCCCACACATCCGACCTGGGGACACACAGAGCAGCCCAGGCTCCCCCTGCCTGCAAAGGGGTCATGCGGTGCGGTGGGCAAAGTCTTGTGTCCAACAAGCGGCTGAGTAGGCTCCCATTTGCCTGTCTTCACTCCCCAGGCCACAGCACTGGCTAGGAATACAGGATCACTTTGGGGCAAGGGGGCTGAGCTTTCCCCCTTGTCCCAAAGTGCAGTAAGATGAGCCCCGTGTAGCCCTGGGGATGGAGACAAAGCAAAGCAGAAATGTGTCTGGGCTGGAAGTGCTTGGCTGGGGCTTGGGAAGCATACTATGCCAGGGGTGGAGAGCAGGTCCTCACTGGCAGGGTTGGCAGAAGCACAGGAGCGTGAGCAGCATTGGCAGGACCATGAGCTGAGGCAGAACTTAGAATCCCAGACTGGTCTGGGTTGGGAGAGACCTTAAAGCTCATCCAGTTCCACCCCCCTGCCTCAGGCAGAGACACTTTCCCCTAGAGCAGGTAGCATTCATGCAGCCAGGAGATGCTTTTAACCAAGGAGATTTGGATGCAAAACGACCAAGGATGCTACAGGGTAATTGCTTATATCAGGATGGGCTGCAGGCCCGCATCACACTCATGCTTCCCTGAGGGAGTTTATACACCCCCGAGGGGGAATGCATCCATAAGAGATGGGTGCATTTAAGTGCTACCTGCCATCAGAGGCCCTCATTCCCAGGGACTGGGAGGCTGCTGGTGCCACTGGGATGAAGGCTCAGCCCCAGAGAAGCTGTTCTGAAAGGCCTGGAGCAATGTGAGCATCCTCCTCTGACCTGCTCCCAGACCCGTGCTCCCAGATGGCACCAGCCCCAGCTCCCATGGCCAGAGAGCAGAGGTGGCCAGAGCGTGTGTGGCTCCTTGGAGTGGGAAGTGGGGGACAGCAGGATGGGCTGCTCGGAGGGCCCGCGGTCTGGGTGGCGGCACAGAGAGGTGCCAGAGGAGAATGCTGCGGCCGGGGACCAGCCAAGCACCCTCTCGCTCTCTCTCTCTTTCCTTTCTGTGCCTCTCTGCCGGTCGCCTTGCTACATACCTCCTTTCCTACATATTTTCTTGTTGGGCTTTCGGGTGCATTCCTTGGAAATCCGTTTTACTGTAAAATGAATAAAATACTACAAAATAACAGGAGGCTCCACGGGTGGGAGTGGGCATGCAATCACAACCACCCTGCCACCCTCCCGCCACCCCCGGGACCGCGGGAGGTGGGGAGGGAGCGTTGCCGTGGGAGGAAAACTCTGGGCCAGCCGTGCTGGGCGGGAAGGAAGGCACGATGCATCCCGTGGCCAAGGGCCCCGGGGACAGAGGAGCAGAGCCAGTTGGCCTGGGAAAAGCCACCGGCCCCCCAGGCTGCCCCGCTGCATGCAGCAGACCCACTGCAGGTCCCTTCCAGACTGCTGAAAACCCCCGGGGGCTCCTGTTGCGGTGAGGCTCAGGCGGGCGCACGGGCAGGCGCAGCCTCCTCTGCCCTCTACTTACAGTTCAGGTGAGATCTCCTACAAAGGAAAAGGTTAGACAAGGAGGCACCCGGTCCCACTCAGCCTCACCCCAACAGGACCGTGCCCGTGGGTCCCTGGCACCCCAGGCTCGTTGCTCCACCACTGTCCCGCCGGCAGACGGGGGAGCAGCCAAGCGATGTGCCTGCCAGTGCCCCAAACTCCCATCGCTACCAGGGCCCGGAAAAGGGCTCCGAGATCCCTTCCTTGCCAGAGCACCTTCCCAGGGAGAGGCAGAGAGTGTTCCTCCCAGCCGCAGCCCACACCCACAACTAGCGCATGGACCTGGGGAGGGTGGGAAGCAGGGAGGGACGAACCCGAACCAACTCAAGACAGAACCTGGCACTCGGCGCCTGGGGAGCACAAACCAGCTTGTCACTCTGTGGATCTGCGGTCAGAGAGTCGGATTCAGATTTAGCAACACAAGAGAGGAACCGGTGACAATGCCATGGAGGTGGAGGGAGGGGGAGCTGGGAGGTGGTGGAGGAGCAGGAGCACGCGAGACAGAGATGGTAGCTGAGGGCAAGAAGGCGAGCTGCGTGGCTGGAGAAAGCTCTAAACGAACAGACAGCATGCTGCAGGGTCCACAACCACATGCTTCAAACACAACACCCAGGTGAGACCAACCACTGCTGGGGAGGGTGGAGCGGCCCCCCCTGCCCTCCGGCGGGCACCCCAGCGGGACTCACCATCCTCCGTGGGGATGTAGATGTTGAGATACAGGCAGTCCTCATTGGGATCCTGGATGTAAGTGGCCACAATATCCAAATTGGAGGTAAACCAGATGGGCAACATGATCTCAGGAACAGCATTGTGGATGTTCTGGGGGCAGACCGGTGAGAAGTGGGTAGCGTTCCTGATGCCTGACCAGGATGGTGGTGGCTCAGGGGGCATGAACCTCTTCTCCCCGATGGGGGGGGCAGCATAAGGCACCCCCAGGTACTGGTCCACGGGCCCCAGGATCTCGCTGGGCAGAGGCATACGCACTCCCCGTAACTTCCCATAGTGCGTGTTGACAGTGGGTGAGTAGACCTGGCCCTCCATGTGAATGAACGCTGAGGTGAAGCTCAGGATCCAGAGGGCGAGGCGCAGATCCCAGCCAGCCGCCAGCTCAGGCACTTGGAGAACAGCGGGCACGAGAGGGCTTCTCCAGAGTATCAGCCACATTGTCCGGGAGGAGCAGCACCAACATCCAGGCCTGAAGCTCCTGGGGCAAGGGCTCAGAGCATCCCGGTCATGCCAAGCCTCCAATTTGCCCACTGGGAAAAGATGGAGCAGAAGAGCCAGGAGTCAGGAGTCGCACCTTCTGATGGGTGAGTTGTGTGCGCGGCCACGGGGAGATGGGTCCTCAAAGCCGCCCCACTGCCTGCTGCTGCCTGCCTGCCAACGGCGCAGCCCTGGGGGCACTGCTGCTGCTGTGGGGAGATGGAGGGAATTAACAGCAGACTTGCTCTGGGAGAAATCAAAAGCTCCCGCAGAGAAGGAGCCAGATCCCTGCCCAGACCCTCCCACCCATGGGTGCTCGTTGGCTCTGCCACCACCCAGGCAGGCAGCTCTGGAGCAGGCCAGCGCGGGCAGCACCGGTACAGCATGTACAGACACACAGATGGCATTTGTCCCTGCCTGCAGAGCCTGTCCCCAGTGCTCAGAAGCCAGCCCAACCTCTGCCCTTTCTGAGTGAGCCCTGCAGCGCCCTGGGAAGCAGCCTGGTGCCCTTGCCTCGTGCTGCAGGAAGGCGTCAGCAGCAGGTTACAGGTGTGAAGATAAGCAGGACAGTGCCGCTTCCTTGGCACCATCCCTCCATGCTAGGAACCTGTTGGGCATCACTGCTCTCCGGCATGGCCCACTGGCCTCTCTCCGCTCCTGGCTGGGCCCACACTGCAGTCAGCGCTCCTCAGCTGGGCCGCATCCCAGCATTGCTCCCCTGCCTGTGTGCCACCACCCCACTTCACACATCAGCAAACTAGACCCACGCATCCCTAACCAGACACCCATCTTGCCCATCCACATGCTCTCCAGGCACCTTTCTCCTTCCACCTGCTGCTGGCCAAAGCGGGGAGAACCCAGGCACAACTCAGGCGATGGGCACAGCCCCTGTCCCACTGTGCCAGCCCCGCTCCCCGCCTGCCTCCTGGCCACCCAAGCAGTCCCTGGGAAGGCAGAGCTCTGCTCCCACATCCCCACACCAGGCTGTCAGCAGGGTGTGAAGCAGATGTGGCAGCTCCTCCCTGGGCCCATGGGGAAAGGCAGGCAGGGCACACGGGGCGCAGGCAGGGGCAGGCACGGGGTTAGGCAAGGGGTAAGGCAGGAGGGCAGGCAGGGGGCAGGGCAGGCAGGACCTGCAACTGGGGACCAATGCAGAGCTCCTGTGCAGCAGAGCCCTTGCTGGAGGCTGCGTGGATTTCCAGTGCTCCGCTCTTCACCTCCCCGCCACCTGCTGCATTCTGGTTTATGCAAGTGCAGCCCCCACCACCAGCACCGCTGCTCCCCAGGGACTAAGACCAGGGCAGCCGCAGAGGCCATGCTCATCCTCAGCCGGCTTGGGAAGAGCAGCAGCAGCCCTAGGCCAAGATCCATGCCTCGGGCTTTGCAGCCCAGTCCCTGCTTGGTAGCAGGTCAGAGGATGCTTGTCCTGTGTCAGCCACATGTCCTTACCCTGGGAGAGACGGTAGAGGTGGCGGGGCACCTCCATTTTTCCCCATAGCATCCTTACATGCCCACCCAGTAAATCTCTCCCAAGCTCAGATGGAGCAGAGTTGCCTTGGAATTATTGGAGCACAAAATAAGAGCTGTATGCGGATGGGAGGATGCGGCTCTGGTGGAGGCTCAGCTGGGCAGGGACTCCACGAATGGAGAACACCTCATCCAGCAAGGAAAATCTGCAGAGAAAAAAAAACAAACCAACCAAAAATCCTACCATAGAGGGTGTCTCAGATCTGCACTGTACATGTGCAGGCAATTCACTGCTGGCCACTAAGGAAATGGGCCTGTGCTGTGCCTCCCCTCCAGATGTGCCCAGGGACACAGCAGGCTCAGAAATCCAGCATAGTAAGAAACACTCAGCACAGAAAATCACGTTGCTGCATCCAGCCTGCCCAAGGCCTCCTGGGACTGGGCATGCCTGCACTGCTCCAGAGGCCATGGAGGCAATGCCAGACAAGGAGGGTGGTACAAACGATGGGGAGTAAGAGGTCACACTTACCGCCCCCTCCACAGTACAGGGACAATGTGAGGGCTGAGCTATCATGACTGGGGCTGATCCTGCTCTATCCCTGACCCCCATCACCTCAGCCCATTGTCCTGCTCCACCTCCTCCTGCCCCAGCAGACAGTGACAGCAACATACCCAGCAGGAGAACAGCCCTGCTGCGTTATCCCCCAACAGCCTAAGAAACAAATGGTGTATCGTGGGGCAGAAATACAGCTGCAGCACCCAGGGACCCCAGGCTCTGCTCTACCCTGCCACTGCTGGAGCTGTCCCTGCAACACAGCGCCTCCAGCTCTGGAGGAAAACCATCCTTCACCTAATATTCCTTGCAGCAGAGAAGTGACATTTGCTGAACAGCGACATCCCAGGGGTGCGATGATGGCTGGGGAACCCCCAAAGCTGCAATAGTCCCACATGGGCTCTCACAAGTGCTTCAGACCCACCACTCTACCTGACATTGCTGGAAGGCAAATTGCCCAGCGCAGATCTGCTGAGGGTCCATGGGTTAGCATAAAGCCCAATTACTAATGACTGTCATATCGAATTTGTATGACTGGAAGCCACAGGCAGCTTCCAGTCTCTATGATAGTGCCCACAATTCCCCAAAGAGCCATTTCAATTGACCCGTCATTGGTTTTCCCTCTGCAAGAGCACCACAGCCCTGCCTGTGGTGGCTTTACCAGCTGGTTTCCTGACTTGAGAGCTTCCTCAGGCTGTGGCCGCACGCTGCTCTGGGCATCACTGCTCCACCAGCTCCTCCAGCCAAGCCGTTTCCCAGCACCAGGCAGCACTGCTCCACAGCTCCCAATGGCTGCAAAGCCAGGGCTGAATTCACCACCTGTCCTGTGCCCCTGGAGCAGCCATGACCCCAGTGTGATCACCCAGATGTGGCACCAGGAGGGATCTCTTTATAAAACACAGCCAAAACCCAGCTGCTTGCTACAGCTCCTCAGAATTACGTTACGATGATGTTCCCTTGTGGTTTTGTTTAATCCTCATCCGTGGTCCTTCTAGCTTATGAAAACCATGTAAATTTGAAAAGAAAACTCACTCACAAGCTAAGATAGAATTAAAGTTCTAAGTACACATCTTCAACTTAAATAAAATGATACTACAGGACTTGCAACTGTCTCCAATTATGAGCTTTATGAAGCATCAGACACAGAGGTGAGTTACGTTAGTGATAGCCAAGTATGTCCAGATGTGGAACCACACCGTCAACACCCAGTAGCCCTGACATTCCCCTGGAGAGCCATGATGCCTTAACACCCAAATGGAGATCGTAGTGTTCTAACACTTGTAATTCCACATCTGGTTCTATCATCTTAAAGGACTTTTTACCTCCGTCTGCCCCTGTCTCCACAAGCACAGAATGCAGGAACCCAGAACAGTCTCAGTGACATGCTGCTCTAAGCCTTCCTATGTTTGGACTGGTTTTCAATTACAAACCCCCAACGTGACGCAAACCCTGAATATGGAATTCCCTGGGTTTCAAATGCCTCATTTGGGATGATTACAATACCCCTGTAACACATCTTATACCCTCATATTGCTGTTCTGTGCTCTGTGCTTTCTGCTGTAACTTCATGTTAACATAACATTTAGGATGGGAATTTAACCTTAATTTAATATTGACAGAGTGCCATGAGAACCAGAGCTCAGCCCCCTTCACCGGGGGCCGTTGCATGCGCCTTTCACTGCTGCTGCCGCCGCACCAGCTCCTAAGCTTGCCCTTGGCCTTTCGAAGCAAAACAACGGAAATCCGAGAAAGGACATTTTGTTCGGGGAAGTGATTCCCCCGCATCCCGCAGGAGGTGGGAGCGAAGCTTCCCGCCTACAGCGCTCCCATTCTTGCCTCCAGCTGCGAAGCCAAGCGCATCCCCCAGCAAAGATGGCTGCTGGCTCCCGGCAGCGCTGCGCCAGCAGAAGCCATGCCTGCCAACTGGAAGGGAGATGGGGCTGGGCTGGGCACATACTGGGGATGCTCAGACGAGCGCACAGCAAGGAGCCGGCAGGAGAAAGACACCGCCGGTATCCCAGGTCGCTCTGCCAGAGCGCCGGTGGGTGAGCAGAGGAAGTGAGGCTGCTGGGGGAGTTATTCATCTGCCTGGGAAAACAAATGCTCCATCCGCATTTCCAGGGCTGCGCTGTCTGCCAGACAGCTCCCTCCTCAACGCTCTCCATGGAAACCTGGGCGGGTGGGATCCTCTGGAAGCCTCCCTTGCAGATGCACAGGCAGGCGTCTCCACACCAGCCAGACGAGCTGGATCCACACCTTCCCTGGCAGGCAGCCAAGGCGATGCAAGTAGGCAGCCTGCCCTTGCCTTGGAGCCTTTGCCAGGCTCCAGCCTCCTGCCCCTCAGCACTCAGGCTGACCAGCCCCAAGCTCATCACGCTGGTGCTGTGGCTCTGCCCTCTGCGTGGTCGAAGCCAGGAGAGACCAGGACCTCAGACCGCCCAGCTGGCACTGACACACGATTTCCTCCCAGCAGCAAGCAGACAGGATGTCCCACTGCACCCTCTGGCCACTCTGCCTTCTGTAGCTTTGCTCACCGTCTGACCCTGTTGTATCACAGTGAGAGGCAGCAAAGGGCCAGCCCAGGCACCCCACCACAGACATGCACCAGGCAAGCAGCATGAGAAACCTCTGCCTCTTCCTGCCCAGGTCCAAACCTTCCCACCAGCCTGTCTGCAAGAGCAGGGTCTTGACTTGCAGCTTCTAGTGCTTGTGGCCTGGGTCAGTGCTTGAGAAGATGGTGGTTGTGTGCTACAGATTGTGCCCTGTAGGTCTTTCTGACCCACCCCAAGTTACCCATCCATGCCACAGGCAGGTGTTTCCTGGTCCCACAGCACTATGAGAGCAATTCCCAGGACTTCAGGTCCACCGCAGAGCTGGTGCACAGTAATATATGGCTACCAGTGGCTTGAAGTTACACTGAAAAGGGGTTTCAGAAAGGTCAGCCCTGCTGCTGCTGCTGCTGCTGCTGCTCCTGCTCTGCTTTGCCATGAATGAGCTAAATGACAGAACAGAGAATGTTTTAAAATCTGCACGTGACACCCAGCGCTAGGGAGACCAGGGCAGGAATTTGACAGACTCCCACCAGACTGGGGAAAGGGCTGAGAGATGATGGGCAGGGCTGTAAGTCACTGGGTGGGAAAAACTTGCACAAACAGACCACAGAAGAAAAGACGGCAGCACTTCTGCCAG